ACAAATTTGAAATCGTTAAAACTAAGACGGTTAATGTATGTTCTATTTCTGAACATTGTGTGAAAATTTGTGATGTTGATACTGAACTGGTTGGTGATGACAAAGATGAATTAATTACTTTGTTACAAAATTATTCTCAGGTATTTATCGAACGAATTCCACGAACACGCGTTTTCACTGGCGAAATTAAAATTTGTCTAGTCGAAAAAACTGTTCAAAGGCGTCCATATATACTCAGCCCAGTTGAAAGAGATGTATTTAGTGGCAAAATAAAAGATTTAATAGAAAGTAATATTATTAGACTTGGTTGTTCTCCATATGCCAGTCTAATGAGTAAACCCCATGTGGTGGAATATTTAAGTAGGAGAACTTCGCCAGCGGAGTCAAGATATCACTCATATGAGTTAGAGACATTGGCAGTGGTAAACTCTGTAAAGCATTTTCGACATTATCTCCAAGGTCGAGAGTTCTTAGTGGTTACAGATTGCAATTCCTTTTACTTCTTTTACTAAGATTAATCTAACACCTAGGGTACACCGTTGGTGGTCATATTTACAATCACTTAATTTCAACATTCAGTATAGAGAAGGGAAGCGTATGGCTCATGTAGACTTTCTATCAAGAAATCCTCTCCCTTCGGAACCAAATTTGGTTACTAATAAAATCCCCGAAAAACGAATTAATTTAGCTGAAATTTCGAATAACTGGCTTCTTGCTAAACAGGAACAGGATCCAGATCTTTGTAATATTTTTTCTAGATTAAATACAGGTGATATTGGTGAGAATCTGGCAAAATCATATGAATTGAGGGCAGGTGTACTTTATCGTAAAATACAAAGGAATGGTAAAACACGATGCTTACCAATTGTACCGCGCTCCTTCAGATGGTCAGTGATTAATCAGGTACATGAGTCTATTATGCATTCAGGATGGGAGAAAACACTTGATAAGGTTCATGAACATTACTGGTTTGACGACATGTCAAAGTATGTCAGAAAGTTTGTAGAAAATTGTATAACGTGTAAATTGGTGAAACCTCTTACGGCTAAAGTTCAAATTAGATTACATCCTATTCCCAAGGTCAATATACCTTGGCATACTGTTCACATTGATATAACCAAAAAATTAAGTGGTAAGAGTGATCTCAAAGAATACGTTATTGTTCAAATAGATACTTTCACTAAATATGTTTTCTTACATCATACTCTTAAAATCGATTCAGAAAGCATTATAAATGCTTTAAAATCGTCAATAGCTCTGTTTGGGGTACCTAATCGTGTAATTGCCGATCAAGGAAGGTGCTTTGCCGGCAGGGGTTTCCGTGAATTTTGCTCTTCGCAGAAAATAGACTTTCATTTGATTGCAACAGGAGCGAGCCGCGCAAACGGTCAGGTTGAACGTGTCATGAACACATTGAAAAGTTTATTGCCTGCTGTTGAAACGGGCCAGCAAACATGGCAAGATGCTTTAGGTGAGGTACAGCTAGCTTTAAATTGTACAATGAATCGTGTTACCAAAGCAAGTCCCTTAGAAATGTTGATTGGTAAGGAGGCGCGGCCGATGGGCCTGGTTTCTCCAGCCGATACGGAGAGTGAAGTTGATATTCGTAAGGTCAGAGCTCAGGCTAGTAAAAATATGATAAGTGCAGCTTATTACGACGAGTCAAGATTTAATAGAAACAGGGCAAAGGTTGTTAAGCACAAAGTAGGCGACTTTGTTTTACTTAAGAATGAAGAGAGAAATCAAACTAAGTTGGATACTAAGTTTAAAGGACCATTCGTGGTTATAGAGCAGTTAGATGGAGATAGGTATACCTTGAAGTCGCTGTCTACAAATAGGTTGTATAAGTATCCGCATGAGTATGTAAGAAAGTTGCCAAATGGGCAGGTTTTTGATGATCTGGACATGAATAATAAAAATTCATGCGTGAATGAAAATGATGAAAACGTTGAAACAGACGTTAGGAATGAAAATGATGGAGACGTTGAAACAGACGTTAATATCAAAAATGTAGAAAACGTTGAAATAGACGTTAATATTAAAGATGATGGAGACGTTGAAACAGACGTTAATATCAAAAATGTAGAAAACGTTGAAATAGACGTTAATATTGAAGATGATGGAGACGTTGAAATAGACGTTAATATCGAAAATGTGGAAAGCGTTGAGATAGACGCTAGCGAAGTAGAGAAATACTAAGTAACAAGTTCTACACGCATCATAGTACAAGCACAAGTGCAAAACTCAGGTTTTGATCATGGCGTGTGGGGTGCTTGGTGGTGTAGTGGAAACTTGGGTGGTGACGGAATGGTAATCGAATTGTGAAACGAAACTTGTATAATGAATGAATGAATATGATGTGTGATAAATGTGATTGAAAGGCGGCGATGCAAATGGTTAGAACTAGAACATAAAAATTTAGTCGAACAATCTTATTTATGTTACATTCTGTAGGAAGCCATCAGCTAGAAACTTAGGTATAAAGTCTTGTAATAAAGGGAAATAAAGATGATTTCCCAGGAAAAGGGATAAAATGTAAATGTAAAATTGCTATAAGAAGAAAAGACTGGATAAAAATAATTCGAAATGTGTTATAGCTTGTAAGAAAATAAAAATTAAACTGTAAACTTTGTAAAAAGAAACGACGATAAAGTTGTATGATAGATTAAACTTTGGTAGTTGAAAGTTACACGAGGACGTGTTAAAGTCAGAATGGCCGTGTCGACGCTTTGGTGTAAACTACTCTTGTAGTTTGAGTATAGTCGCTATGCACTGCTAGAGGGCGCTGGTTAAGAATTGATAATTAGCATTATTGTCTTGGAGAATAGTTCATGACTTGGCAGCACAGTTCTGTCAAGGTATGTAAAAACGTGGAGACAACAGCGCAGTCGTGTTCAGTTAGTTAATGTAGAGAGAACACGGAAAGGTTGAAAGGATAAGTTGTGTACGCGAATTTACTGACACCACGGCAATGGCATACGACAAGCCACCGCCGACATATATAATCAATATGTAAAGCATTTTATTAAGATTTATTTCACCACTTTTCTCCATCCATTTGTTTTTGTAATATATTGTTTTAAATTTAATAATTAATCAGTTTTCACACCCGAGCCACGTTTTAAGCTTACGCGTTCCGCTACTGACGCACTTAAACTGATTTTAATAATCAATTAACACTAATAAATAAGGTTCTTAGTTGGAACTAGTTTGAAGTGTAATTATATGTTGTAACTTAACATAATGACATTATGATCGCCGCTGTTATACAATAAAATTACAATAAAAGGTTGCATGGAATAAGTTTGGCGTGCTTACAAGCATTTCTTACAAATACATTAGTGGTAGTTATATATGCTTCTTCTTCTTGGCCGCCACTTTTTGTGTATTTTATTTCGAATTTATTTCAAATTGATATTAATAATTAAAATTAATAATAAAAAAAATTAATTAATATTAATAATAAAAATTTAATATAATAAATAAATGTATATGTATTTAATAAAAACATGGGAGTAATACAATAAATAAAAAATCAATTAACACAAGTCTGTTAAGTTTTTAAAGAATATGTAATATTTAACAGTATCTTTTCTTAGAGATGTTGTTAACATAGTTTTTTTTTAACAATCTGATCAGCAAGAGTGTAAAATGGTATAATATTTTAGGAGTGATTTAAAATATAAAATCCTCCATGTAAAAAAACAACTACACGTGAGTCTTCAATCATAACGCATTATAAAAAGAGTGTTATCGATTAATTTTAACAATTTCCTTTTAAAACATTTTAATTAACATTTCTAATAATGTCAAGTTTCTTAAAATTTATTTATTTTATATGAAACAATTTATATTATTATTGTTAAGAGATGTGACACTGCGACCGTAGGGTCTATTGTGCCCTAATAAATTTGTAAGAAAACAAAATATTATATATTGGGTATAAAAAGTGTAAGAATAAAAAGAATAAGAATACCTCAACAAAACTCGTAATATCAACAAAAAGTTATAAATTAGTGTAAACCTTTTCAAAACCGATTATTGGACTTTGTTTCTTTTAATATAAATACGTTTGTTTATATTTATCAAAGTACATATGTCGTTCTGTCCAAGGTAAAGTGTCTGTTAATAATTAAAATGCAATTTTATTATGAAATAAGCTAACGATGTCATTCCATAAGTAATTTGCATCTTTTAAATTCCACTATTCTCCTTCAAGTTCTGACTGTTGCATTGCGTCATCTTGAGAACTTATAGTACTATCTCAGTGCCTTTAGCGCAATAATGCTATTTAGTCAACTAAGAGTATGTCCTGCACAGCTACATTTGAGTTCCTAAGTTTTGTTCTGTTGCTATAGTTAAGCATGCCCAAGCCAACAAATCGATATTGGCTACTTTTTGGAATAAACAATAGCTTAAGAGTCTTCGCGGACCGTAGTTTCTTAAAGTCTGACTTTTGAACTGAATTGCAGTGTTAGTTTTCTATGTTACGCTTCAGCAATATAAATTCTGATAAAAATATTTTTCAATTAAAGCACTATAATGTATAAATCAATTTTATAGCTTATTAAAAATAAAACATTTTTATATACTTTCGCAAAATTTTCCAAACTTACACGTCAACAATATGAATCTTAAGTTTATGAATTTCACTTATAATGTTAAGGACATTGGCTATTTATTTATATATATCTTTTACTGGATCTAACATAACATAAATTTTTCATTAACATTTATTCCCCTTAAGCAGTTAAGTTAAATTGAATATAAATTTTAGAAATAATAAATATTTTTTTAAATTGAATAAATTTTAATGAACTTATTTAGGGCATGTTATGGTGGTTCATTTTCAACAAAAGTGTTAAAAATAATATTTGAAAATTTTATGTTTATAATTTTTTTTTTATAAGTCAACTCGGTCTGTATTTTACTTTTAAAAACTTTCACAAGTGCAATTTATATCTGATTGTTTCATATATTTTTTTTTATTATTATTTTAGGTCGTGGCAAAATGAAGAAAATGATGGGCATGATGATGATGGGCATGGCAATGAAAATGATGGGCATGATACCAATGGCAATGGGCATGCTTTATATACTTGCTGGCAAGGCTTTAATCATATCGAAAATTGCACTTTTACTCGCTGGTATAATGGGTTTGAAGAAACTAATGGCTGGACGAGGTGGCTCTAGTGGTGGTGGTGGAACGAGTTGGTCATCCAGCGGAGGCGGAGGTGGATGGTCCTCTGGTGGTGGCGGTGGTTACGATCGACGTTCATTCAATGAAGCACAAGAATTGGCGTACCGCAGTTACAGCAGGCAACCAAATCATTTAGTTTACCAACAACAAACACAACTAAAGCAACAACAACAGTTACAAAAACAGCAGGGAAAAGTACAACAGCAGCAACAGCAGCAGCAGACACAGCAGCAGCAGCAACAATACCAGCCGCAGCAATTACAACTGCAACAAGTGCAAAAGTCATAAATGCAGTAAAAGTTAAATTACTATAAAATTTACAACAAATATGAAAAATGATTAAAAATCGATCATGAGCAAATTATCTTGTAGATAATTTTTCTTTCAACAAATTGCAACGACATAGTTACTGACAACAGCTACGGCAAGATCTTCACATAAAAAGTTGAACTTTATTTTTTATGAAATTTTGTAATTATGTATGTGTGCTTCATAAACTGTACTTACTAGTTGCTACTATTTTCATTCTAATAGTTTTTAGTATTTTTCATTTGTCTTCTGCATTTATATATTTCCATAATCAACCATATTTTTGCATAAACCGTTTACTGTTAAGATCGTGTCTTCTTGCAGTATTGCATTTACTGTTATTGATCTATTAGGTGCAACGCCTTTCCACACAGTTCTTCGCACTCCTCTAAGTGCTAAGTCTTGGTGCTTGGTGCTTTGCTTATTATGCACGCTATTAGCTTCTATCTTTGACTTCATTATAGTCTTGCCGGCTTTAATTTAGTTTTTATATTTCTTACCCATCTCATGCTTATTATTCTCCTCACTATTCTATCTTTATTGGGCAACTCAATTAGTTGCTGTTAGCAGATAGTTTTCAGGTTGTAAATTAGATTGAAAACTGTTATTTTTTTAATAAAAACATTCTTCCGTTTTCTTCACTTTTACTTCCTGATTTGTTCTTTGCTTCATTTCTTTCTTTCTTTTCATTTAATTCCTTATTTATCTTCTGCTTTTAATATAAAATGAAACAAAATACTAGTTTTAATTATTTATTACTCTATTTATTTATTTATTTCATAATTTATTTCATTATATAAATAATAAGTTAATTTTTATTTATTAAAAGCTCCGAAAAAGCAACTGAAAAGATTGTAACAATAAATTATATATTAAATATTATATTAATTTTAGTTAATATTTTTTATACATATATATATACAAATATATATATATACTTAATAAATGTGAATAATCAGTGTTTTTAACAAAAACAAATGAGAGTAAATTATTGAAGTATGTATGTTGATCCTTTTTTCGAGTCAACGCAACTGGGCACTTTTACTCTTTGATAGATGGGGGTACTACAGGGCCCAATCCATCTCATTGACTAATTTATGTATTCCTTATAAGCTTCATGATTTTTCAGTATTTAATCTAAGATCTGCGTACCTCCCCGTGCGGAGAGTGCTCTGTCCCTTTTGTATTTTTTGATCGGGTCTATTCTAAGGTCTCTAAGCATGTCGTTTGTGCGGATGTACCAAGCCACTTTGAAGAGTCTTCGGAGAGCCTGACTTTGAGCAACTTGTAGCTTTTGTATAGTAGAGTCGGCAGCTTTGCTATAAGCGACATACCCATAAAGTGTAATAGAAGGAAGTATTTAAGTTATGCCAATGAAATTTGACGTATGTAGTATACATACTATCAAAGATAATCTTATTTGAGGATATGAATTGAACCCTTCATTCTAAATGTCACTAATTTTATTTAATATTATTGTATCTCATATTGAATGATAGACAGTTTCATAAACATCCTACTAAACCTAATACATGAGTAAATATAATTAATATATGTAACGATGAAATATGAGTCTATACTGCCACAATTATATCAACAAAATATTAATTATTCTGAAAATTCTGTGAAATCTATGAATGAAACTACAAAAGTAACAGCTGTATGAGTTCTTATTCTTATTTAGATTTAATACTGATTAATTGACTAAGCCTACTGATGGACTTTTTGCTTAAAGTTTTATTCCTCCCATGAACAAAAAAATATTTGAATATTAAAAAAAAATAATAAATTTTTAAACAATACATCTTATACATTCAATTTGTAAGATGAAGAAAGTATAGCGCTGATTTTTGTACCTTAATTAAAATGAAAATTCTTAAGCTATATTTAAATTTGAAAAATATTTATTATATTCCGTTTATTTTAGTTCAGTCAGAAAGTTGAAACTTATTTGAAGAAAATATTTTTCTATCTAATTTTACAAATTTGATGTTGTCAATATCATTTAAATTGTAACTCAGCTTACTCAGCTTAAATATCGACAGCCACAAAAGGAATTTGTTAAGGAAAAGCTTAGTAGTTCCTGATTATAAATTTTCAAAGTTGAAACATTGACGTATGTGTAATATATAAAATCAAACCGATTTTTGCTCCCAAAACACATCCCTTTTTTTATATTTTCAGTACCTTTAAATGAAAAGTCATCCAAATAGAAGAAACTGGTCCAGCTAGAAAGGTATTTGATTTATTACCAACTGGTGAAAAAAAAAGTAAAGGACGCCTGCATCTTCGGTGGAGACACCAGGCACCAAGGATATAAAGAATATGATAGTTGAGAGACATAATGAAGACCACCCATAATGAAGATCATGCTATTGACAATATCAAAATTAAGAAAACTGAACGTGTTTGGACATAACAAATATAAATAATTTTTCTAAAAACTTAAGAATGTTGACTCATCTACAGTTTTGTTAATTGACATAAATAGAGAACCATTTCTATTTTACGTACTAAAAATGTTATAATTTATATCAATCAGTTGAAGTTAACTTATGGCTATCAACAAATTTATACATTAAACTTTATGCGGATATTATAATATTAACAAAAAAAATTTTTTTGTTTACTGTTCTTGATATTTATTTTAATATTTAACGCCAACTTAGCGAAAAATAGGTCATAAATAAACTGCCTGATTGAATCGATTTAATCGAATAACGATAAGCAATTTTAACTACATGTAAATGATTAATATATTTATTAAATAATTTATTTTATTATATTTATTTATATTTTATATTTATTTAATATATTAAAAAGAATTCGAAAAGTTATTTGTCCCGAGACTCTCAGCTGCTTAGGTGGTGTTTCGCGTATTACTTATACCTATAAATTTGAGAATTTCGACAATTTTCAATCTTCAATGTATGCAACATATCATTGTGGATGCCTTAATGAGGATGATTAAAATAAAGATACTTACTTATATTTGTTATCAAAAGTAAAAAAGACGCTGTTCAGAAACTAGTTGGAAGATAGTAGATTGAAGCTGCAACGAATCAAGTTTTGCCAGCATAAGCAGCATAATAAAAGCCATTTTAATCCCAAATGCTCTAGAAATGAGAGATAAGAAATTGTATTACATTAAATGCAAACTTAAAAAGAAGTTTGTTAATCGATTAGTAACATACTGACAAACCCACTGGTATAAAATGTATAATTAAGGATATATGGTAGAAGTTTAAACAGTTTGGCATCTTCACAATAGTCATTTAAACTGAAGATTTTGCTGAAGTAAAAAGTATATGTTGCATTTCTGGATTAAGAATGGTTAAAAAAAATTATTGGGCATAAACATACCTAGATTTTTGAATTAAATTTATTTATTACAGTCTTGGCTGCATATTGAACTAACTTAAGATCTTCAATTGAATATGAAGAAAAATACGGCCTTGGTTTTTAGAAGTTAAAACTCTTCTTATAAATGGTACTATGCGAAGCAAACATGACTTTTTAAAAATTGGTGTTAGTAAAGAGAATTTCTATTGGCAATGACATGTGTCGGTAACTGTCTATTAATTGTTAAAATTTCAAGAAACTTGAACGAATCTGAGATCAGTTATTCTATTATTTTTAAGAAAAACAGACAAGTTTTACAAATAGTAAATTTGAAAAATTGTATAATGTATCATATACTTAACTAATTTGTGAATGAAATAGACAGTTTTGATGGTGAATCATGTGAAGACAACTAAATTTTTTTCTAAATATTTCTTAATGGAAGTTTTTTCAATACGAGTATTAAGTTTTAAAGTTACTTTTTTTTAATTTGATTTTAAGGTGAGTTATAATTGGTCACTACCGCCTTTTTATTATTTTACTCAATAAAAACTATTGTATTTAATAGAGAGATTTCAAACAGTACTGAATTGCAACAAAAATTCTAATTTATTTTAAATTAATTGACACAACAGTGGCTGTTGTGTCAGTTGGCTAATGAACACTGACTCTGTGCTTCAAATTTAGCAGGGCAAGAGTTCGTACTTGGATTCACAAAAAATTATGTACGAATAATTGAATATAAGGAATAATTCCAAGACCACTGATGATGGATATTTGACAATACTCGAAACAGCTGTATGGTCAGCCAAAAATTCAATTAATTAAATAATAAATCAAAATTTTTGTTGTTGCAATTCAGTACTCAAACAGTACTTTCTATAAAATTCATTATTAAAATGCTTAACTTCAATTTTAATACGAAGTAACAAAGTTTTTCAGCTTAAATTTTTGGTGTGGGTGCATTAAACAGGCGCTCAAAACTATGCAAGATTTTTGCTGTACGAAACAATTATACAAAAGTCGCCTAGAAGTCTTCCAAAAAAAAGACAAATTTACTGCAATTTTGATACTAACCACATAACCAAAAGGGATTTTATATAACAATTTAGTTGAGAGAAAAAGGTATGTATTGTGGTGCATAAATAGAAAAAGTTTTTTGTCTACTTTTTACTTTTTATTTAAAAACTTAAATACATAGTTTTATTTGTTATTGTATTAGCTAACATAATAACATAGATTTATGTACTTATTATGATAGATTTTCTACTTATTATTTTTTATCGATTAAATAATACAAATCTAAAGGTCAAATATATAATATAAAAAAAACAGTGATTGAAGACGTTAAATAATCCAGCTGTATTTTTCACCAATTTATTACTTCAGACAAAATATGCATAAATTAACTTATAGATACTTGAGATGAAGATACTTTCAAAATAATTGACTTCGTAAGATCAAGCAGATCGTGAGAGCGATTAGGTAGTTGATGTCCTCTGCGATGTGCAAGGAATATGTACTATTATTTGTAAATGATATTGAACAAACGTTGTGATAGTAAACAAACAAGTTATATTGAATAGTATTTTATGAAGAAAACTTCTCATTTATATAGGACAAGTGTGCTTTTCTATTAGGTTAGTTTATGCAAAAGTAATTAAAGTCTCAAAACTGCCAATACTAACCTTAGCCAATAAAAACAAGATTTTTTCTTTAGAATTATCTAAATATTTCTTGATATATTATATTAATACATATTATAATATATAACATGTATATATTCATACATGTTATATAAAATGATTAACTGTTTGGGACTGACTTTTTACTTTTGATGGCTTAAATTTCATCAATTTAATCTTATCCTCAATCTTCGGTAAGTAGTTTATTTGATCAAATGAAGCAAGCTTTTCTTATCACTGATATATATATTAAAATTTCTTTGATGGTAGAATTATCCGATATTACGACTAACTTTTCACACTTGGTAGTTAAGTTTTCATCAAATACAATTGCCTTGGTAAATGCTTTAGATGATCGATTATGGTTAATTTATTCTAGAATTAATAAAATTTCAAATATGTCTTTCATTGGTACAACGATTCGTTTTCAGAGTTGCCTTTTCGTTTTTGGTGAGTATAATTTAATCAACTTGTTTTACTGTAAAAGGTATGATCGATTCCACTTTGATTGTCTTATTATTGATGAAATTTTCAATATTCTTTTGAGTGTTGAAATATCCAATATTGTGTCTGACCTTACGCGGTTTTGATGTCTAAAATTTCATCAAGTTACATTGCCTTGGTAAGTATATT